ACGCGCACTCCAGAATCATTAGCATGGAAATCATTAGCATGGAAATCATCAGCATGGAAATCAACAGCATGGAAATCATCAGCCCCGTACTTGAGTTTCGCTCCGTTCGAAGCTTCAATTGTTGAGAAATCTAAGCACCATCGGCATCGTTCACATTCAGATGTGCCAGCACAACATTTCTGCGTTGGATCAGATTCGGAGCCATTGAAATGAAACTGCAGATAGTTGTGACCGAAGAGTGCGTCCGGCGCTCTATCAACAACGGTGGCATTCGCGAGAAGAGTTCTGAAGGATGAAAATAAGACTGGACGCAATACAGACACTACCGTACCCTTTCACATTCTGCAGGTCATCAAGCCCCCATATCGGTCCTTTACGGCAAATGAACGTCCACCCATTCAATGAAAACCGTTCCGTCTTCACGCGACCGACGGAGTGCTGGGATCTGATTGGACTGACCGACATGGACAGAGAGCTGTAGCGCAGTGCAGGACCAGAACGAGCACCAAGAAAGATAGAAGACCACACAACGTTTGATTCATGGATCTGGACGGTACAGCGATGGTTCGAATGGGGGTCAAGACAATAGCAGAGGTGGTTTGAGATCAAAATCTTGAAACTAATGGCTTCGCAGTTTTGTTGTTGGGAAACGCGAATGAAAGTGAAATGATGCGCGTTCAAAACTCAGAAAAAGATTCGGTTCTGGCAATGCTGTCCGATTCGGAGGCCGCCGATGAATTCCTCTCGGGCTTCTTTCACAATGTTAACCATTGAACTGGGTTGAAGAATCTTCTCCACAGATGGATCGATTGTGAAGATTGGAGACGACTGTTTGGATTTCTTTGTTTTTATTTCTGGAGTTGCAAGAAAACTTTGGAATCCACGAATGGTTGGAGAGAAGACCGTGCTGTTACTGTAAGAAGGTTTGTCCCAAATGTTACGAAGATGTATTTCCTCCGTTTAAAGTTAAGAAAAACTGATGGACAAGGTGTTCAAAATGCTGTGATGGACAAGTCAATCACGCAGAAGCACCGAAGCAGCAATTTAGCGAAAAAGAGGAAGAGAAGCAGAAATACAGAGAACGGACTCTAATTGTTGATATTTGTAATATCGTCCTTTCGTTTCTGATCCCCAACTGCAGGAGATGTTCACAATCGTTGTTGCTTGCTGTCATGTTACTCCCTCAATCGGTTCATATTGGAAATTCTCAAAAGGCAAACAACAAAATATTAAAAGCATTTCAATGGGGATGAAAAGGCTACTAAACAAGTGCTCCACTGACTCTTCAATCTCAAAGGTGAATCGACTAATATTGCAGTTGAGTAGGTCGTCTATTCTCTCCCCCTTTAGATTAACGCGGTGCTTGACTGATGAGTTGACTCGTTCCCATAACTAGGGCTTTAGAAGATTTTAAAAGCTTGACTTTACAGCTTGATTTTAGAGCTTGACTTAAACTGTATTTTAAGCTTTATTTTAGAATGCTTGATTTTCTCAGTCGGACTTTGATGTAGAAGGAGGACTGAATGGACAAATTGGACCAAATAAATTTGTTTTCTCCGCAGTCGTGAGGCTAATTTGACAATCGCTCGGAAGCTCTAGTCTTCCCGCAATGTCACTTAATTCGACTCGGGCAGAAAATTGATCTAAAGGACTGAGAAGTTCAACCGCAGGGGTTGAAGGGTTGATCGTTGTGTCGACGACACTTGGATTTTTGGAACGATACAATTCCATTGAGAGGTTCCTTGATGCTCGATCGCAAGCACTTCCATGTGCGTATTTCAGAGCGTCTGCTGCATGATGGTTGAACACTTCGGAGATAATCTGTTGGGCTTGTGGCGTGATGGAGGCTTCGTTGTCGACAGAGTAAAGAACCTTTCGCACAATTTCTGAAGTAATTAACTGAAATCCTGACATCTGGCATCAGGCCTTAACAGGTTCACCTCCCATCTTCATCCCTGAATGATTTTGTATGTCCATTTTTGTATGAAACGCAAGTTTTCGTAATTCTCTCTTTATGCGTTGTTCGAATGAGCGGAGATACAACAGAGCAATCTCGTTGGGTCTGACAGCCAATGGAGTCCCAAATAGTGGAATTGGGACTTCCGAGTCTTTCATCGAATGTCGTCCTGAGAGTTCCGACTGCCTCAGGAAGACAAATTCCGCGGATGTTTTTTCTTCAGCATGCAGTGAAGGACTTTCCTCGGGGTTGTCAGGAGAAAGTGGCCAAGACATTGAAGAGACTGGTGAATCTGAACGGTTGTTAATGTCGCAAGGTTCATTATCAACCAAGAGAATCGGGCGACGCCGCAGAGTATTACGAGAGATGACGTTTGGAATTCGGAAAGGCACATCGAGTTGGGAAAGCATGAAAGGGCATTTGAGCGCCATGATAGGGAATGGGCCGACTGCCAGAAACGGAATAGTACAAACAGATACGACAATGAGGACAGAAGTTCCGTCGCTCAGACTCGATTCAGTTATCCCGATGCATCAACAGAAGGACGTTGATGAGATCCAGGAGAATGTGAAGGAGAATGTGAAGGAGAATGTGAAGAATTCCAAATCGTCTCTCATTGTGCCTTCATTAGGAATTCGACCGTCTTCGAATTCAACAGATTCTGATGGAAGTTCGTTGATGGGACGATTTGGATTGCTTCAACGAGGGATCCCTCCAAAACCTTCGGAAAAGAAGTCTGTGCGATGGAGCAAAACTCGATGTTCTCTATTAGCTCCACAGTTACACGCCAAACACCTTCAGATGAATTCAAGGTGTCCCCTGCTTGTCCCTTCCCCAGTCCTCGCTGCTGCTAGTCTCAGACCGAATGCATTGTCCATCCATCGATTGAATCATACTGGGAACGATCCAACATCGTGCGCCACTCGTAGTTCGTTCGCATCAAGGGCTTCAAAGTCATCAAGGGCTTCAAAGTCATCAAGGGCTTCAAAGTCATCAAGGGCTTCAAAGTCATCAAGGGCTTCAAAGTCATCAAGGGCTTCAAAGTCATCAAGGGCCTCGAAGTCATGTCCCACATCCTCAGAACATCTTTCTGATGAGAGATGCGTCACATTCGGATGTTTAAAAAACGATGAAGGTCGCTTGAAGTCAGAAGGACGGGACGAGAATGTTGATCATGTCGGGCTGTCAAGTATGGACACTTTCTCTGGAAGGGGGAACAAACGCTGCGTGACACTCGGAAGGTTCAATTCAACGAATTGGAATCAGGCCAGACAAACGCCACGCGATGTTCCGCATTATCGTCAAGCGTCTGGCGGTTCAACCCTTTTTTTTGCCCGAAGCAGCTCGACAGATTTGTCTCGCCAACCAGACTCATCAGGAAGTTCCATCCGTGCTTTATCAGAGACGGTCCACCGCCAGCCATCAGCAGCTTCCTCCCGCTCCGTTGGAATGTTTGCCTCATCAGCCCGCGATCGGTTGAATCGGCCGTCGATTAAGCGTCTGGGAAAAGCGGATTTTCGCGACAGTTCAAAGAAGCAGGTCAACCAGTATGTATCATCGTCGTCGTCCTCATCATCACCACCATCATCATCATCATCGTCTAATTGGGCTGCTCGATATCCAAAGGTGACCGGCAGTGATAGCGAATCATCAGTAAGCATGAATACAATCTGACCTTCATGATAAAATTTCACCTTTATTTTCAACTGAATAAAATCTCTTTTTTAATCGCTTCATAGGAAAGTTCAAGTTATTATCCCGGTCCCAAAATTGCACATCATGGTCGAAGGAAGGATCTTGGGGAAGCCATCTACGCATGCGACGAAGACCCAGTCACGGGTCGATGCAAGCCGATTCGTATCAATGTCTTCTCTCTAGATTTCTTGAAGAAACGCCATATCGCCATGACCTGGCTCTTGTTGGGAGCCTTATCGCTTTTCACACTATTGAGCGTATGTTATGATTTCTATGTCACAGTTGTAACGACAACATCGTCGGCCAAAAAGGATGTCGCAACCACCATTGCTGCCCTGCCTTTGACTTCCCGTCCCCTGCTACCTCCCCCCATGTATTGTCGGCGCGCTGGATTGTACGTTCCCCCAGAGTCCACTCAGCAGCCTCGAATTCCTCCAGAGTTGGTTGCACCAGACATTTATGCAGACATTCCACCGACGGTTTGGCGCACTTACTACAGGCAAGTGAAGTGGATAAGGGACGGTCTTCACTTCTGTATCCACTGATGCGCTCCTACTGAATCTCACTCTCACGGTTTTTATCAGTCTCAGAGAAAAAGAGTCGTTCTCAAAACTGCTGCTTCAATTCCTTGTGCAAATTGTTGAAGCCATTGTTGGCCGACTTCTTTATTACATCAGCTACGAGCCTGGTGAAGCTCTTCTTCGTCTTCTTCTCTTCTCGTTTTGTATCTCGAACTTTGTTCTTCTGGTTCAAGAGTTTTCTTTCATCTTCGACGAGCCCCTGCCAGTTGATGATGGCGCTGAGGAAATATCGGCGTTCATAGCACGACGGATTTGTCGTTCTGTCATTCTTTGCATCGACTTCTGGATGGAACTCGGCAAACGGACAACCGCAAAGTTCACTGAATTCAAGCGACGTGCTAACAAATTGGCAGTTCATGTCAAACAGCGATGGTCCATTCTGTTTGTTGGAACCGGCGGATTGAAGTTCAGTCTTGATTATTTGCACACTCTCCGAGACAGATTGTCTGGAGCAGATACTATACGAGGATCCACCTTCCAGTCAATCTTCAAAAACCCGACGCGCTACAGAGCGCTTGCCACCCCGCGTTTGCCTGCAGCGACTCCTCGTCTGCCTTCCTCGCCTCTGGAGGCTTCGGATACATCTTCCACCTCCAGTTCGCATTAGTTTTCTTTTTTCGAGTTCGGCTGGTATTGCGATTTATTGCGTACCAAAAACTTTTGTATATAATACTATCGATTTTCATAGAGATTTCTTCTCTGTCATCAATTCAAGTTCTACACTCCTGGCAGAACGAAGGTCAACTAACGCGCCAGTCTTTTGCCACTCACTTTGCCTTCCATATCCCTAGCGAGTAGCAGAGCCGTATTGTGACCAAATCCCGAGCCATCTGGACTGCTGCAGCAATTGGCTGCAGCTTTGATCCTGGAATTTCCCGCCAGTCAACTGGAATTTCTGCAATACGGTAATTAAATCTGAAAGACAAAAAAATCCTCAAGTTCTCTCATGATTGACTCGTCAGTGCTAGAAAGCTATGGACTCAAAAATCTCACATGGACGCTAGGACTATCAGTTCAACATCAAAAGCCCATCGATTTATGTGAAGTGACGGGAACAAAGAGCGAGCGGATTTCCGAGAAAAGAGTTTGAATCCGCACTGAGTGTCCTGGGAGAAGAACATAAAGATAATTCCAATTTCATCCAACTTACTCGAATTTTATTTCCGACAACTGCAGAGACAAATAAATGGAATCCATACATTAATATATTCCGATAGAACTTCCTCTACAAAAGAGCGTCATCAAAATAAAACATCATCAAGAGAGAAATAAACCTCACTCTAGCAACGGCCTCTGTTCCAACTAGATGTTGACGAGACCCGATTGCAATGTCATATGGAGGCACTCCCGAATGGGGAATAATCCGACCTGATGATAAATAGATAACAAAGACCCTCGATCGAGGAACGGACCACAGGAGTTGATGACAAGAGATCGACCACTTGCATCTGTGATAGTCGACGTATTAAACGAGTTCGAATCTATGGAGACAATCCAAAAAAAGAACTCGATATCATAAAATCATTGTACCTGAGGACTTCTTTACATGGTCTCCACACAACAAAGCTGTTTCTAGTTTTCCCAAGTCTGAGAATAATGTTGCACCATCTGCGTCAGCCATAAGAATATAATCTCCACGAGAGCATTGAGCCCCCTACAAAAAAGTGAAGCAGGGTTTATGAAATGGGGTCTCTACGGATTTCAATCCATGATGTAGGATCCCACTTACTAACGTTTCTCTAGGATCCCACTTACTATTCGTGTCGCAAATCCCTTCCCTCTGTTTTGTTTCAATTGAACGATTCTTATGTTTCCGCCAAAAATCTTTTCAGTCTTGCTTAAATTTACCGCAACTCGCGTTCTGATAGAAAACTCTTCTACGTGGATTTTCTGATCATCTTACGTTTCATCAGAGCTTCCATCATCAACGATGATAATCTCATATCGGAATGTCGAACCCGCTCGCGCTCGCTGGCTGAGATACGCGATTGTCGATGGAAGACTCGCTGGCAATCTCTCTGCTTCATTATACGCTGGAATGATGACGCTCAGATAAAGATAAACTGGTTGACTTTTCGATGATGATACTTTGGATGAAGGCTCATAGAGCTGGTTCAGTAACGTTGCCACATCCAGATTGTCCGAGTTCCATTTAATGGAGCCTCTGAAGAAGGAAATCGTGCAAATAAGATGCTCAGTGGTTCATTAGAAGACGAAACCGAAGCGAGTGAATATAAGAACGATTTTTTGTTGTTCCTTACTCGAGTGATTCGCGACCTTCTGGATCGAGACGCGGGGCCATAATCCATACGAAGAGGCGAAAAAGGATCCCAATCTGAAAGACATCTTGGTGAAAACTTAACACTCCAAAAAAATTCAACCTACAGCTAAAACAAGGAAGAAGAGGAAGAAGAGCATCTACAAAACAAAATTTCCACCTCAATAAAAAAATTTGCTCATATTATTTGGGTCCTGGTCTGCTGCACATCTCCAATCGTAAGACAAACCGTAGCCAGTCGGAACATGAAGTCCTTCTTCCACATCGCCATAATGACGCCACACATCGCTATTGATGAGAATCCATCATTACGACAATCACTCATTAATGAGTTATATCTGTCATTTGTAGAACATGCTGCTTCGTCAAGTCTTTCAATTGACTGTCAAATCCCATCCGTTCATCTGTTCCTCTGTTCGAGCAATCGCATCCAATCCGCAACCCACATCTAATCCGCAGCCCACAAAGGAATCAAAAAAAAAGGCAAAGAGTAAACTTCAACTCAACCTCCCTTTTAAGGTATGAGGCGCAAATTTTATGACAACTAAAGAAAAGTCAGGAGATAAATAAATAGAGTGTTTGTTGTTTCAAGGTGGTGCGAACTCCTAGCGGGAATCTTCCGGTCTACGCGAGACTCCACGGTCAAGGCAGAGGAAGAACGACGATAATCAGAAGAGTTTACGGAGAGCTAGAAGTAGGTTTTTTTTTTAAACTCTCATTTCAAAGTCCTTTTCATCTTTCTCTCACTTTGTATCTAAGCGCTGTGTCTTACCAACAATTGACTGCCTTGGAGGGGGATGCGCGTTTTTGCCATTATTTGGTTGAATCCTTTTTTCTTTGTTTTATAGGTGCTAAAAAAGGAGCTTTCAACGATTTGCGAGGCCCCAGTGAGGGAAAGAATAGGAAGTCTAGAAATTAAAGGACTTCACACAGTCAAGATTAAGCAATGGTTGGGAACCTTAGGGTAAGTCCCAAAGTCCTATGTGGATCCTTAGGCTGCTTTTAGATTTTGATTGAGCGAGATGGTTCACTTATACCTAAACAATCGCTGAGGAAGAGTTACAGCAAGTTTTATTCGAAGAGGAAAGAACCTTAATTCTATAACAATAATTGATTTCTCATTTTTGAATGTCTAGCCCAAAGAGTTGCGGTCTTTAGAACATCATTAAATGACTTTCTATTATTACTATAATTTCCGTTGATGGAGTTTCTGTCAGTCCCGCTGTAGTTGCTATCGTCGCCGCTATCGTCTTCATCTAACGCTTCTCGGGCTTTGCTTAACAGACCGCCGCCCTCCACCTTTTTTTTTGCAACTTCTGCATTTTGTATAAAAGACTTCCAGCGAGGCTGAGACCGGCTTAAATGCGAGATGTGATGATCATCTCTAGCATCACGTTCTGCTTCTCTCCCCAATCTGCTTTGAAGAGATCCAGCCGTTATTGCGCTATTTCTCTCGATCGGCGTTCTCCCGACGCCTGAGATGAGAGACTGACTTTTCTTGTGAGAAGGCATTGGCAAAATCGAGGAGGACGATAACTGCTGCTTCTTCGACATTAAATATGACGGTTTGAGCAGTTCTGGACGATTTGAAGACTCCGCTGCTCCTCCGCACGAGAAGGAAAGTCGGGACTGTGGCGAATAGAGAAGGACTGTCTTGTTTGCTGATTCGACGGGTTCGTTCTATTGTTTGCAAACGAGGGAGGGAAGTCCTGGATTGGCTGAAGAGTGGCGGTGGTGAATTGGACGGGGTGTGTTGATACTTTGGCGCTTGTTCATTCCGGCTTTGACTTGATCTGAATGTTAAATCTGTTGTTGAAAATGGCGTTTCAATTCTGGGCAATAGAGTTCGTTGCGCCACCTCAGTCTTTGTTTTGGGCTTCAATGGAAACGGTGTCCGAAATGGGAGTTGTGTTGAGGATGGAGTGGGGCATTCTTGGGGCTGTTGTTCCCTCAGTGTCCGAAATGGGAGTTGTGTTGCGGATGGAGTGGGGCATTCTTGGGGCTGTTGTTCCCTCAGGTGCTCTGGATCGCACGGGGCTAATTTTTCAATCGTTAATCTGCTAGAAAATTGCTCGTAAAAGAAATTAATTTGAAATACATGATGAATTGATTTCCTTCTTTTCTTCCAACGCATTAATTTCAGTTCTTTTCCAATGAATTTGATTTGATTCTTCTTGATGACTTCATTGAGTTTTAATTCTAATTTTATTTGATTTTCAACTTCCATTAACTTCTTAGCTTTCTCGTCCTCTAGCCTTTCCAATTCTTCAACCAATCGAATATTCTCAAGTTCGATCTCTGCCAGCTTTTGTGACTGTTCTAAATACTGAGTTTCAAGCTCTTCAAGCCCTTCAGTCGATGCGATCCTAATGGATGCTTCATCGACGTCACTTTCGCGGAATCCAACCAAATCATTTGATACGCGTGCAACATCTGCGCACGAACAAGTCGTTCTGCAGACCAATTGGTCGCTCGTGGTTTCCAGAATTGGCGGGTCATCCATGATGGGGTGTTGATAAACTCCGCTCTCCTGAGAAGAACCGAGATGTTCGAAGCCAAAGTCCTGCAAACGCCAAAATGACAGAGAAACAGCGACGTTCAAATGTTACATCATTCTTCCGATTTTGGAGTGATTTCTCCCGCTTGTTGACGCGCCTTTCGTAATTCAGTTGGTGACGCGTTTCAGATAATTCTCTCTCAAGTTGGGAGATTCGCCTCACGGTGGAGTCGTAGCACGAACGGATTCTTTCATTTTCAACGATTCCCGCTTTGCAATCAGTATTAGAGGCAGCTAGCTGAATGACAGCACATGAAATCGATGCTTGTAAGATGATTATTTTGACGTACATCTGCTTCCCTGGCACTAAGTTGTTCCTTAAGGGTACAATTTTCACTTTGCTTTATTTGAAGATCATGTTCTAATTCAGCAATCTACAAAACCAATAAACTCAGACGCCTCTGTGCTGTGTATTTTACATGTTGCCTCAACGCCTCGTCGGCAATTATCCATGCGTTCGTTAACCAGTGGATCTAGAAGAACACGTATGCGCTCAGATTGATGCCATGCTCCCCCCAACTTATTTAAATATTCACTATTTAGGACCCTACTTCGTCTGTTTTTTGTTGCAACTGCGATTCAAACTTGAGAATTTCAAAATGGTTCTGTTGTTGATACCTTTGTTCATCTTTCTGCTGAATTGCATCTTCATATTCTTGGTCAAATTTGAGGGACCTCCTTAACATTATTCATGTTTGAGAGAAGGCACAGAACTGCATGAAATTTATAGGTTGAAAAAAAAGGCCATCAATGGTTGTTGTTCTCCTAACGGGCTCCAAATGTTCTGGGAAAAAGACCGTTGCAGAAATATTACATCACGACCGCGGATGGAATTGGATTGATTGTGAAGCGTATCTCAGAAGTGGTGACGAGTTTGAATCAACCCCGCTGAACAAGAAGGCTAACAAAGAAAATAGTATTTATGCTCAATCTAGGCAAAACATTGAGCGGTCGGCGTCTTCGACACACCCCGAATTCGATAGAAATGATGACAACTTCTGTGGTACTCCGGCTCCACCGCCATTGAATGCATCAACACTCCAGACATCAGCGCCCAGCGAAGAACAACTGCGCCACTTCAGATTGGCAGCATTGAAGAAAGGTGAAATACAGAACGCTGTGAGCTTGTGTCAAATTGCTAACAACTCTATTTTTTTGGTTGTTCTCAGAAATTATAAAACGTTACGATGAAAATATTGTTGTTTATTCGATTAGCCATCTAGCGATATTACAGACGTTAAGGTAAACTACAAGTGCATGAGTGTGAGGTTGAGAAGATGGTATTCATGGAAATTTTTCAGAACAAGGCCGTACGTGGTTGTCGTTGCTATCGATTCGGCAATTGACTTGCGGATGACCCGCTGGCAATCTCTTCATTCAGACTCTTCTCTTGAGAACTTCATCAAATCGGATTCTTCTGTACGGCGTTGCGCAATAGTTTTTTCCCCTGCATTATTTCTTCCTCAGCATAGCCATGGATGCCAGGAGTGCATCAAAAGGCCTTCCAGTTCAGCGGCATTAACAAGGGCTTTAGCTTCAAGTGATATTGGGTGCTCATCTGTCTGTAAGGTCGTCTGTTCAATAATCAATCGAGCAATGAAATTGAATTCAGGCATTCAGTCCGCTGATTTCTATGTAACGAATTTGGGTTCAGTAGAAACTCTAAAGAATCAGATTACACGTACGTCACTCGCTCAATAGCATCACAATCTCAAATATGAATGTTATTGACTCTGATGTCTCACCACGTCACTCAATTATCACCATCAATATAATCATCACCATCAATATAATCATCACCATCAATATAATCATCACCATCAATATAGTCATCACCATCAATATAATCATCACCATCAATATAGTCATCACCATCAATATAATCATCACCATCAATATAGTCATCACCATCAATATAATCATCACCATCAATATAATATTACCATCAATATAATCATCACTATGTTACCAGATCTTGGTTTGGGTCATCCGTCCATCTTTCGTCCTTCGTTTGATACGCAATTCATGTCAACTGCTCATGTGATCTCAAGTCGTTCAAATTGCATAAGACGCCGAGTTGGGGCTGTTCTGACGAAAGATTGTATCGTAAGTCTCTAGAGTGACGACAACTCTATTTTTGCTTATAGATCATCTCCACAGGTATTTCACTTTTAGCGGCTATTGGGAAAGGCTGCTCTATAATGTGCTTCATTTGTTATTTTATTTATTAATTAAGGCTACAATGGAACTCCTCGGAAAACCTTGGATTGCATGCAAGGTAAACAAAGCTGTTGACCCCTATGATAAAAACAGTTCTCAGGTGGTTGTCATCGCTGCACTGACCCTTCAGCTGCTCGCGTCAGTCTGGGATTCCACTTTGTTCTATTTGTGATAATCAATTGCAGGGAGCTCAACTTGAAGCTTGTTTGTGTGTTCACGCTGAGGCGAACGCATTGATCCAAGCAGGTCTGTTTCGTGGTATTTTCTCACTTTCAAGTAGCTTCTCAGGATTGGAACGATCAGAAGGCGGAACTCTGTACATCACTTGCTTCCCGTGCCTCAATTGTGCAAAATTAATCATCCAAGCTGTAAGTCTGTCCACCCCAATTGCCTTTCATGGAGAAGTGCAGCGAGTTAAGAGATTAGTCTATGGCGAGGAATACGATTCCAACAATTTTCTGCTTCGGGAATTATTTGAGAAGGTAATTCAGCCATTCTTTTTTTAACAACCCTCATATTTTGGAAACACAATCCATCAGGCCAAAATCGAGATCGTTCACTACGAACCCAAATGGTGCAAACGAATATTTTCTCTCTGTCAACATCCTTAGTCCCCAAAGGCTCGCCTTTAAATCTTGTTTTCAAACATTTTCACCATGAACAGCAAACGTCCCTACCTACCTCTTCTTGCTGCTCTGTGGAAATCATACATCAATGTAACTCCACGCGCCGCTAAGATTCATTTGCATTTATCGGAACATTTGAAACTGAATGTTGTTAACGATCACGTTGCATTTCGCACAGTCTCTCACCCCGCTGTGGGAGTTAACACTCTAGGCAGCCTGTTTGAACTTCTCGGTGAGCGAAGACCTGAAATCACTGTCGTCGCATCTATTCTCTAACAGGGTGGCAAGTGAAGGGCGAGTACAGATTCAATAACAAGCATCTTACAGCAAAA